CTAAGGACCTCAAGGGATCCTGGGCAGTGCTCACACCCAGATCGCATAACCAAGACAGAGTAAGTGCAGTGTGGAAAGGCCAGCTTTTATGTGTCCAAGTTCAGAGGGAACTCAAGGGTCCCAAGGTAAGGCTCACACAAAAGGGGCAGAACCTAGTGGTCTAAGAGTATATGTGAGAGTGGTTGACATAGATTTAAAAGAGTTGAGTTGGAAACAATTTTGACAATGATTAGTTTGAAATAAGTTTGGAAGGCAATAGAAGAGTTTGCCTTAGTGAAAACCAGCTTGAAGAAGGAAAGAAACAGGACAATCAGCAACTCAAGACCAAATCAACATACATAGTTCAAACACAAACAGGGAAAGGAGGAATTGGGGACAAGTAGTTCATATGCGAAAGCATATTTGCACGCAAGTTAACACCAGAGAAGTACTACAGAACTTAAATAGTCACAGCAATAGTCTATCACAAAGTGTTCATGCCATGAGCTTAACAACATCAGATTTAATGGGTGCTAAACAGAGTTACACATTAGGTTTAGGGGAAAGGGTTCAGGATCACATAGTAACTAGGTGTGATGCTTATAATGTATCGGGGTTAGAGGGGTAGGGCAGAATAATAGTAGAAAATGTAAGAAAGCAGTAGACATGCTGAATTACAGGGTAATCACATGGCAAAATAGGCATGCTAATTGCAAGGGAGACAACAGAACCACAAGTAGAAGCATAAGAGAAACAAAAGAAAGTGCAATACAAATAGAGACATATTGTTTTGGATGTTGTAAGTTAAACTGAAAACATACCAGTAAAAATGAGAGAATAAGTGCATAGTGAGCAGTGAAGAGCAGTACAATGAAGGGAAGTAGAGCAGTAGTGTGTAGAGCATTAGAGTAGTAGAACAATAGAGCAGTAGAGCAATGTAACCACTCAGTTTTGGCTTGCAGCCAACTGAGTATCAAGTAAGAGAGTATGTATGTGTGTAAGAGAGAATTCAGAACAGTGTCATTGTTCGTCCCTTATACTAAAGAGAGGGAAGAGTATTTATAGTTTTAGAACAGGCAGACAAATAAGGTAATAGGTACTGACTTAGCATAATTATAGAAATAATACAAATCAGAATCAATTAAAGGCCCGGACTTCCTTTAATTAGGGAGTCATAGTTCAAATGGGTACAAGGTTTATCAAATAGGGAAAAGAATTACTTATATGACTGATTTTACCACAGTACGAGTAGTAAAAGCATGTGGCATGTAATAAGGACTAAGTACAGAATATTTTCAAGTAAGGAAAGTACACGTTAAATAACTAACAGCATATTTGTGCACATAAATAAGGTAGAGTACAATTTTAATTCTGAAAGTTAGTTCAAAGAATCACGAATGAGATTGAAAATCACAGGGAATCAGCACTAACTAAGGAAAGTATCACAAAAGTAAGGAAGCAATTCGAAAAATTAGTACAGAATTACAATAAAAAATACACAAAATCACAGATTCGGGGAGATATCGCAGGTCTAACGAGATTACACAATATAAATTATCATGTGAACAATCAATAAAACAAATAGTCGGACCTATTAAACGATAAATAACATGTTTGAACAAAATTAGAGAAACCCTAAGAACGGATTAGAGCAGGAAACGAAAGAGCATATAGAACATACATGAAACCTAGAATGTTCATGAGAGACATGCAAACACATCGCAAATAGACTCAAACTTCAAATCGAATCCGGAAGTATTAGGGTTTCTTAACGAAAATGAATCGAGCAAAAGGAAAGACTCAAGTGATGTTTAAACATGTTAAAAATCACAAAGTAATTGCTAAAAATCAGAAAGGAATCATTTTTTGCAAAAGGATTTTGAAACCCTAGTCTGGAAAATGAGGAAATTGTTTGAAATCAGAGAAATCTTTTGAGGAAAATAGGTGAGAACCTTTAAAGATACATAGATCCATCATATATCTAAAAAGATCAGAGGATTTAAAGCTAGGGTTTTTCAGAAAAGTAGTAGAGATGATAGAATAGGTCAAGAACCCATAGATCCGTAATAAAACAAGAAGAAGTTCTTACTCACAAACGAAAAATGGCCTGAGACAGGCTGATAAACAAAGTTACCAAATCGGAACCAGTTGGGGTTCCCTTGAGAAGATCTCAAGGATCCAAAAAATCGAAGAGCCATGGCGTGTGGAAGACCAGGCCCGGTCGGAGAAGACGGAGAAACATCGTAGGAGGGGTTCACACCGGTGACGGCGATTAGGGTTTGAGTTAGGTCTCAGAGAGAATTTGGAGAGGAAGGGTTCAAGGGCGGTGCAAATGAGAGAATGGGGTAGGGTTTGGGGGGTCGTTGGATTAAAAAAGGAAAGAAATAACGTGGACCGTTGAACTGGGAGATCAACGGGCGAGATTAAAAAGGGTAGGTTGGGTTCCGGGTTTGGGTATGGGTTAATAGGGTGTGGGTCGGGTTTTAGTTGTAAAATTGGGCTGGGAATTGGGGTCCTGATTTGGCTATAATTGAAAGCCAATTTGGCTATAATTTAAATAGCCAGTTTTTCCCTATTTAATTTATAAAAAATAGTAGATAATTTCTGAAAAAATGATTTAGAATGCTAAAATGATATAGGATACATATTTAGCAATTTAAAATACAGGATCCAATTTTATGCATATAAAACATAATTATATCTTAAAAGGGCTAACATTGCAATTATGTGCAATTTAGCTTTAAAAATACTAAATGTTATTGCAAAAAGTATATAAAAATTACCTTAGCCATATTTTGGCATAAATATAGAAATCCAATAGATGAATTATCAAAATAATGACTTTAGAAATAATTATTGGTGATTTTATGGATAAAAAGGGAGAAAATAAATCAATTTAAACCTTTAAAATTATGGAAAAAATAATAAAAATCTTGGGCATGCTTATATATGCATATATATGCTATTTCGAAGGTGTTTTTGCATATTTAAAAATATAGGAAAAAATTGGGTATCAACAGCACCTGGGGCTGTGCTGGAACTGACTGAGCTGCCAGTGTGCTGGATAGGACAGATAGCTTTGTTGTAGCTGCCTGCATCCAGTTGTTGATGCTGGAGAGAGTCTAGTTAACCCTCAGTGCAGTGAGAGGGTATGTTGATCAAGAAGGCACTGAAGTCGGAGTAGAGGAAGATCGTCCGGAGGAAGGATGTGGCATGGCAGTTGAAGGCTCAGAATCATTGACCACCACCGCTGGCTCTTCATAATAGCCAGTGGAAGTGGTGGCTTTGCCCTTGGACTTGGGGTTGTCCGGACCCTGAAGGCTATACCATGAAAATGGCCTCTTTGGTTTCACTTTGGTGTCAAAATCCCTTCCTTCTACTTCCTGATCCTCCAGGTAGATAGTGAGGAAGTTTGGGAAACGATATGAGCTCTCATTCTTACCAACCACTCTGGTAATCACCTTGGCCATAATATTCCCAACATTGATCGGGTACTCTGCCATGATAGCACCCACAATAAGAGCCCAGGAAAACGGCATATCACTGTCATGTGTAGTAGGGTCTAACTGACTGCACACAAAAGTAGCCCACCCCTTTGCTTCGAAGCTCAAAGTGTTCCTGTAGATCGGTGCCCCAGGTGTCAGCCAAGCTGGAGTAGTCCCGGGAATAGCGATCACCGATGTAAGCCAAGGGCGGGCTAACTCATCCATAGCCACCTTCTCTAGATATAAGGACTCATCCTCATCATTGAACCCAGCATAGTCATTCAGTGTCTTGCCATCAAATCTAATCTTCAGGTTCCGCACCTTGGTCACATAGGTGCCTTTTTTGATGTGGGCTACGGTGGCATAGAACTCTTTGACTAAATATTCATTGGCCTCCGGCAGCTTGCTTTTGAAGAATTTCTACCCCACTCTGTCATCAAATTACCTCTTCACATTGGGATTGTTAGGTAGAAGATCCCTTTCTATGAATTCCCTCTCGAGGGTGAGAGACCTCTGCGGCCACCATTCCCGGAATTTATGATAGGCTTTCTCACTAACAAATCGTTGTTGCCACACCATCGGGTTCCTTCACCTTGCCAACCCCCTGCCTGGGTGTCACCACCTTTCCCGTCATCAAGGATCTCAGCATCTACATCAATAGGGTTCATTGGTGGGGCCAAAGGTGTGGCAGGTGGAGAAGTTGATGCTAAAGACTCACTACTCTCCTCTGAGCCATCAGATGACTCAGAAGAAGCAGGGGGTGTAGGTTCATCTCGCAACTAAAATTTCTCTAGAAAGTCTGTAGGAACATAGGTTGGCATTGAATCTCCTTCCGAAATTTCACCGGAAGGGACATATTCACTTCCTTCAGAATGGGATGCGGGTCTGTCCGCAGCTTCGATGGAATTTTGCATCTTCCCAATGGATTGTTGTACTGCTAGGGGTAACTTGATTCTTCCTCGTCCCCTTCCTTGGGAGGAATCTGCTTTCCCATTTTGTTTATCACTCCTGCCTCTAGATTTTACCATTTTCTGCATACATAATCATTGAAAGCTCATTAGTGTTGTTGTAAAAGAATCATTAAAGGAAGGCAGATGAAAAGTTGACAGTGTTCCAAAAGCAGTGGTCCGCTGACGGCGAAAAACAGTATTTTAAAAGGCGGAGGCGTGAGGCGAGGCGTTTTATCCGGTACGGGGCGAGGCGAAAGCCTTGAGACACGGGGCGTAAGTCCCATAGATTTTCAATTTTATAATCTGATAATTTATAAAATAATCTTAAAAATATTTTTATATGTGAAAACTACATTAAATGTATGTACATACAATAAAAAAGCATAGGAAAATTATTATAAATGTTTTATAAGTGAACTAACAAACAAAAATATAAATACTACCTAAGCCACATCCTGACAATAAGGTTATAGGTGATACCTAATACACCAAACAATATAAGGACCAACTTAAATTATCATGGCTATAATCTGAATACCTCATGTGCAACAGTAACACATATAAATGCCAACTTTGCAGATACAAAGACCACTTAACACTGCCTTTACTCTTCTATTAAACATTAAATAGTAATTTGGTCAGAGATACACAAGTATCATAATTAAGAGCTCAACCGGTATATCTTGCAAAAAAAAAAAGAAAACAAATGCACAAAAGCTATACTATATCAATTCTGTTCGAATATATCAAGCACATCCCTAAACTCCTAGCAAAACTTCATCACCAGTTTTTAGTCATAGATACAGTTGCTCTATCAATCGCTATCAAAAACGAGGGTCTCATCAATTTCCACATCTTCCAATCCTTCATCATCCTCGACTTCCACTGATTTTTTTTTGTAGATCAAAGGAGAAACAAAAGGTAAAAGTGTTAGTATTTTGACATAACAGATGATAGCATACAACTTTATAAAAATAGTAGTAGAATACTATAACTTACCTGATGATTTCTATTTTTTGTTAGAGGGACCCGATTCACTTGTATCTCTTAAACTCCCAACATCAATGAATGATTCATGTGTAAGATTATTCTCATATGGTGTAAGCGGCACCGTCCTAACAACATCAATATCAAATAAATTCTCTTCATCAAGCCAAGAAGGATCTTCTGGAAGCACAGGATCTTCCTTTTCAGTAATCCATTCATCATCAGAATCAACTTCATCTACTAGAACTGGATCAAACTTTTACAATTTTCTTTTTATGCTCCTTTCTCTCAGTCTAGTATTATACCTCACATAAACGAGAGCATTTAATCTATGATGCTCAAGTCTATTTCTCTTCTTGGTATGAATCTAGCAAAGATCAGAAAACTTACATTAAGTTAAGCTATCATAAACAAAAGAACAATAAGAAAATTTATGTAAAAGTATAAACGCTTACCGACTCGAAGGTACTCCAATTTCTTTCACAACCCGAGGAGCTGCAACTGAAACTCAAGACACGAATTGCAAATTTACTCAACTCTGGAGTTTGTCCGCCAAAGCGTATCCACCAATCTGTAGGAGATCTCACTTTCCTAGAATCCACAGCTATCTGACATCCAAAATCCCCTTTCAATTGGTCATGTGAATCTAACTGAACATCCACTTTAAATCTCTCTTCATAATCCAACATTCTTTCCATACATTGGTACAAACTTTGTTTGACTTAAAAGTTAATAGAAAATGTTTCTTCAAATCGCAATTGCGGATTCAAATAGTACCCTGCAACATGAAGTGGACGACAGAGTTGGCGAGTCCATCTATCATCAATTCTTTTCCAAATGGGAGCATATTTGTTTTCAGTATATCCTCAATTCAAAGGTTTTTTTTTCTTAGCCCTATGTATCAGATCATACAAATATCCCATGCATGGTTTTTCCTCTGAATCTACTTCCCTCAAAACACTCACTAAAGGGGCAACACTTTTCACACAATAAGCAATATATGGCCAAATTTTTTTGATCAAACAGAACTATGGCTCTCGTTTTCACCCCCTCGTGTTTCTTAGCCCAAGCAGATTTATTCCAAGCTTCAGAAGAAAATATAGATCTAAGAGCTTGTTTTGCTTTTGAATGCTTTAAGTGTGAGATATGCTGTAGCAAAGCGAGTAACAACAGGACGAAGAAGTTCATGATTATTTGTAATGAACTCATTAAATCTAACACCCACGTATGTCCATAAATAAATCTCACCACTTCTTTTGCTTTTGTAAGTGTGTCTTGATGCATTTTCAATTTTCCTATGTCTTCTAATAACAGGTCAATGCATTGCGTTGCACATGGAGTCCAATAAATATGAGGCCTAGTTTCCATTATTGTTTTTCCAGCATTAACAAAATTAGAACCATTATCAGTTATTATCTGCACAACATTATCTTCTCCAACTTCATCTATGATCTATTTAAATGCAACGCGAGCATTTCACCACTTTTTATAGAGTCCGATGCATCAATAAATCTCAAAAAAAAGTACCCGCAGGACTATTAATTAGAAAGTTGATAAAACATCTAATTTTTCCATCTGTCCAACTATCAGACATAATTGAACAACCATATTTCTTCCAAGATTTCTTATGTTCATCTAACATCTTGTTAATATTTGTAACTTCATCTTTTAGTATCCAAGTTCTTAGCTCATGCATTGAAGGAGGTACAAAACCCGGACCATAATTTGCAACTCCTTCAAGCATTGACAAATAGTACGGATCATTTGCAACATTAAATGGTATACCACTTGAGAAGAAAAACCTACCAATTTGCTGACAAACTTCTTTTCTTTCCTCTTTTTTCCATTTGGAGTTCAAAGTAGCTTGTCTTGCTTGAGTACTAACAAAATCATCCAGCGGACCTCTAGCCTTTGGAGGCAAATTGCCCATAGTTGGAGAAGAACCTGATTCGCCATCCATGTTACCACTTCCAGTTGCAACAACTAGCATTTCTTCCAAAGTAGCCTTTCTCATGATTTTTACATTTTGAAGCTTTAGTAATGTTTTCTTGCATTCTTCGGCTACTTCATCCGGTACCTTCGGACAAGGCTTTATCCCTTTGTGGGTGCCTGCTAAATGTTGCTTCAATCTGTTAATTGTGCCGCTAATTTGTTGAGTACAGAACTTGCATCGAAAGTATTTCTCATCCGGGGTCATGATTGAATATTTCCATGCAACATCTGCTTTCCTTGCATTTTTAGAGCCCTCTTCATCCATTGTAACGTTTTAGCTTACCTACAAGAAAAGTGAGATAAGAACATGTAAATTATTGGAAGAAACTAAAAAATATAGAAGAAAATCTACATACAACAGAACATTATTGAACTTCAAGTTGGTACAAAAAGCTGAAGCAAACATGACAATGCCCACAAATCATGGCAAATAACTTTGAATAGGCTTAAGTGTACTGTTGGATTAAGAATTTCAAACAAGCAAATAAAGTACTGTTGGATTAAAATACAAATTACAAAAAGAATATTAAATCTCAATCAGTAAAAAGTTTTTACTGTAGGAGGCTAGGGCCTAGGAGCACATACAATTGGAAGAACCACATATGAATCTATGAAATACCGATTATACAATTACAATAGAACAAGAACTCAGATTCAAGGATGGATAATCTCTAAAACTATTTGGAAAGGAAGTGTAGATGGGCATAAAGCAGAAAGAAACAAAAAAAATCAAAAAAGTAATAAGAAAGATTAAGTTATACCTTTGGAGTTGTGGACTTAATGTGAAACAGAGAAGTCAACACCGTAGGTTTTTTTTTTATTTGCTTCTGGTAAGTCTTGTGCGGGTAAAAGTGAAAGGGTTGAAAAAAATATTGGGAATTGTATGAATTGTTCCTAATTTGGCTAAGTTCCATAAGGCGTAAGTCCTAGAAGAAAGCGCGCATTTTTCCTAGGCGTGCGCCCCAGTGTATAGTGCGTACGCCCGAAAGAACTTCGCCTTTTTCTATCGCCCTGGTGCGTTTTCAGTGCGCCCCCGCCCCGGGACTCGCCCTGTACTCGTCCCAATAACGCCTTTGAAAACACTGGCGGAAAAAGGGGCATGGCCGCAGACTAGCTACCGCTGAGAGCAAAATTTTGAATGCGGTCGCGAAGGACTGGGATTCAGACTACCCAGTCTCTGAAATTGGACAACCGCTGAAAGCGGAATTCTGGGCGCGGCCACAGAAGTTGCAACGCTGTCCGCGGAAAAGCAAACGCCGTCGCGGACCCAATTTAGCAGGCCTCTGAACTTAAAATCCGCGGTCCCGTAAAAAGAATCACGGTCGCGTAAAACAAACCGCTGTCAGCGGATTTTCCACCGCCGACCGGCGAAAAATGAACCATTTTAATTCAGGACACTCTATGAACGCTGACCGCGGAATTTCAGCCACGGCCACGGAATTCACAAAGAACAGGCATTGAAGGGTTTTTTTTCTTTCTTTTACTATCATACAAATTAGGCAATTCGGTGCTAAAATGAACAACCGTACCCCCTATTAGGCATAAATAACAAGTACCCACATGAATTTTTACTCTCAATGCCTAGATTATGAAAATCAAACCCTAATTGAAAAGAAGAAGTTAAAACTAAACGAAAAGAAAAGAAAAGCAAAAATATTAAACCAATGCTATGATTTGAACATACCAGTTGTTTGATTTTTGTGGTAGAAGCTAATTCCTGATTAAAGCTATGATACTGGGCTAGAGTAGAGGGACATGAACAGTAGCTAATTCTTTTGAGAGAGAAGAGCGAGAAAAGGGTAAAAGGAGGAGGGCCCTCCTATTTATACTAAAAACCTGAGGGCCCACATCGACCTACCTGGCGCGACCGCGGAATTCCATCGCGGTCCGCGCTTTTGGCTGATTTGAAGAGCTGCATGCTCTTTAACACCGCTGAGAGCGGAAAAGTGGCCGCGATCGCGGCCGCGGAGTAAGGTCCGCTGACAGCGAAAAAAACCACCGCGGACGCGGTTGAAACTTCAGAGAAGTCACATTTTGGACTTTTTAAGTCCGCGTCCGCTACAAGATCACACCTCCGCGAAAAAGCTTCCGCTGAGAGCGGAATTTTGAGTGCTATCAGCGGTTCAATTGCATACTTAGCCAAATTTTCCAGTATTAGTCCTGCACTGCATCAAAAATTCCTACACACACTTCACAAACTAGTTAGTCCAAAACAAAGCCTACACTAAGAAGAAAATCAAAAAGATAGAAAAACACATGGGTTGCCTCCCAAGAAACGCCTGATTTAACGTCGCGACACAATACAGGTTACCATCAATCACTTGAGATGGATCATTGCTACCACGTGGCTATCATCAAACTTGCCAAGATAGTGCTTCACTCGGTGCCCATTAACTCGGAAGATTTCACCATTTTTGTTCTTCAAATCAAGAGCACCAAACGGAGTTACATGCACCACTTCAAAATGGCCACTCTATTCTGACATGAGCTTTCCCGGAAACAGTGTCTTTATACAAGGACGAGATGGAATAGGCATGAAACCTAAACTCATCAAGTTCATTGAGTTGCTCTACCCGGAGATTTGCTGCAACATCCCAATCAAGATTTAACTTTTTCAGCGTCCACATGGCCTTATGCTCTAACTCAACCAGAAGATGGCACGCTTTCCCAAATACCAGCTAGTACGGAGACATACCAATTGGAGTCTTGTATGCAGTGCTGTAAGCCCATAAAGCATCATCCAGTTTCCTTGACCAGTCAGTCCTATTTGCATTGACAGTTTTTGACAATATGCTCTTTATCTCCCTGTTGGAGACCTCAACTTGCCCACTAGCCTGGGGATGATAAGGAGTTGACACTTTATGATTGACACCATACTTGGAAAGTAAAGTATCGAAGGCCTTGTTGCAAAAATGAGAACCCCCATCACTGATGATCGCCCTAGGAGTGCCAAACCTCGTAAAAATATTTTTCTTCAAGAAAGCCACCACACTCCGTGTCTCACTGTTGGGCAAAGCCACCGCTTCAACCTACTTGGAAACATAATCAACAACAACCAGAATGTACGTGTTACCACATGAACTCACAAAAGGTCCCATGAAGTCAATGCCCCACACGTCAAATATGTCAACCTCAAGAATACTGGTGAGAGGCATTTCATCCTTCTTGGAAATTCCATCAGCTCTCTGACGCTCATCACATCTCTTCACAAGCTCACTAGCATCTCTGTACAATGTAGGCCAATAAAAACCACAACTGAGCACCTTTGAAGCAGTTCTCGTCCCACCATGATGACCACCGTAGGGCGAGGAATGGCAAGCATCAAGAATACTCATTTGCTCCTCTTCCGGAACACATCTACGGATCACACCATCATTACAAATCTTGAATAGGTAAGGCTCGTCCCAGTAGTAATCCAAGCTATCCAGATTAAGCTTTTTTCCTTTGGTTAGAAGAGAGCTCACACAGGACAATGCCGCTCACAAGAAAATTAGCAACACTGGCGAACCACGACATACTATTCAAAGATACGGAGATGAGTTGTTCATCCGGAAATGAATCTTTAATTTGAGACCATCATGGGGCCTCCCTTCCTCCTCCAAGTGGGACAAGTGGTCCGCCACTTGGTTTTCACACCCTTTTCGATCAACAATTTCAAGGTCAAACTCTTGAAGAAATAGAACCCATCTCATCAACTAAGCTTTAGAATCCTTCCTTGTCATCAAGTAGTGGAGTGCTGTGTGATCAGTATGAACAATCACCTTGGCACCCATGAGATAAGGCCTAAACTTTTCCATGGCAAACACTATGGCTAGCAACTCTTTTTCCGTCACCATGTAATTAAGCTGGGCATCATTCATAGTTTTGCTTGCATAATACACCAGGCGAAACATCTTGGGTGCGGTAATAATGGGAGTGGTTGTCAGTTTGTACTTGAGAAGTTCAAAAGCTTTCATGCATTCTTCATTGAACACAAACCTCGCATCCTTTTCCAACAATTTGCACAGGGGATTCACTATCTTTGAAAAGTCCTTGATGAACCTTTGGTAGAACCCTGCATGCCCAAGAAAGCTCCTAACCCCCTTGACGGAAGTAGGAGGAGGAAGCTTTGAAATCACTTCAATCTTCGCCTTGTCCACCTCAATACCGTTCTTTGAGATCTTATGGTCGAGGACAATGCCCTCCTCGACCATAAAGTGGCATTTTCCCCAGTTAAGCACTAGATTTGTCTCTTCACATCGGGCCAACACCTTGTCAAGATTCTTCAAGAATTCTTCAAAGGAGTCACCCACAACACTAAAATCATCCATGAACACTTCCAAGAAGTCCTTCACCATATCAGTAAAGATAGCCATCATACACCGCTGGAAGGTAGCCGGTGCATTACACAAACCAAATGGCATCCGTGAAAATGCAAAGGTCCCGTACGAGCATGTGAAGGTGGTTTTCTCTTGGTCCTCCGGTGCAATCAAAATCTGGTTGTAACCTGAGTACCCATTCAGAAAGCAATAGTAGCCACGCCCAGCAAGTCTATCCAACATTTGGTCCAGAAAGGGCAGTGGAAAATGATCTTTGTGGGTCACTTTATTCAGCTTTTGGTAGTCCATGCATACCCTCCATCCGGTGACAGTCCTAGTGGGGATCAACTCATTTTGCTCATTTGTGACCACAGTCATACCACCCTTCTTCGGGACACATTGTACCGGTGAAGTCCAAGAACTATCCGAGATGGGGAACACAACCCCTGCATCTAGCCATTTGATCACTTCCTTCTTGACGACCTCTTGCATAGCCTCGTTCGACCTCCTTTAATGTTCCATGGAGGGTTTGGCATCATCCTCAAATATAATCTTGTGCATGCAGAAGGCGGGTCTTATTCCCCGAATATCAGCTAGAGTCCATCCAATTGCCTTCTTCCTTCTTTGGAGCACATCAAGGGTGGCATCTACCTGCATGTTAGTTAAGTAAGAAGAAAGAATAACAAGTAAAGTAGAACTAGGGCCCAAGAATTCATACTTGAGGTGTGAAGGCAAAGGCTTCAACTCCAATATGGGAGGTTCCTTGATTGAGGGCTTTGTTGGTTGAGTCGTTCTGTTCTCAAGATCCAAGGAAAGTTTACGGGGCTTATAGGAGTAAGAACCCATTCCGTGCAAAGCATTGACAAACTCTACCAAGCCTTCATCCTCAGTCACATCATGGTTCAACAATACAGCTTTCAAAGGTCCTCCACATTGATCATGGCACTCGTGTCATCAACTATCACCTCCATTACAAGATCCACAAAAGAGCAAACTTCAGTACTATTCGGTTGCCTCATCGATTTGCAAACGTGGAAGACAACCTTTTCGTCACCCACCCGGAAGGTGGCTCCCCTGCTTCCACATCAACCAATGCCTTCCCTATTGCTAGGAAAGGTCTTCCCAATATTATAGGCACCTCATAGTCGACTTCGCAATTGAGAACCAAAAAACCGCAGGCAAAATAAATTTGTCAACCCGGACCAGAACATCATCAATAATACCAAGTGGCCTCTTCATTGTTCGATCCGCCATTTGCAATCTCATTGAAGTAGCTCTCGGTTGACCAATATCCAAAGTTTTGAATACAGAGTAAGGCATCAAATTTATACTTGCTCCCAAATCACACAATGCCTTGGCAAAATCCGCACTCCCAATGGTACATGGAATGGTGAATGCTTCGGGATCTTCAAGCTTTGGAGCCATCGAGGGCACAATTGCACTCACTTGAT